CATTCTAGTAAAGTTATAGGTCAAGTATTGTTTAAGTCATATTTTCATAGTTTAGGCTTGGGAATTAGGTAGATAAAGATATAGCTCCATCTATGCGAAAGTAAAGATAATTTCAGACAACCACAAATAATATATCAGAGTGATTTCTTGGTTAAGAGGCCAAGATTTTTAAGCATTTCATTAGACACCTTAAATAGCCCAAATACTTTACCGTTAGGGAGTTGAGTGATAATATTATACCATTCGTTAGCTGATGGTGGAATCATTAAGTCATCATATATGAAGCAGTAGATATTATTCAATGATTGATAAAATGAAAGCCACTTTTTATCTAACTGCACGTTCTCGTGAAAAGTGCTGGCTGCTATTTGAAAGTATCTAGCCACTTCCTTTTTGATTTCATCTTCATTGGTCAAGAGGTCACATGATAGGAAACTATTGTTAATATATTTGTCAATAATAATTGATCATTTAGAGTGGTCCATAAGTGAATCAGTCATATATGCAATTGAAATACTATAATTTTCCAGTCATCTTTCAATGGCATGTTAAATAGATTTTAGTTTGAAATCATATTCATGTAATTTTGCTTTTATAAGAATACAGCCTAGCAGCAGATCAATATTAGGATGAATTGATTGTGTGATGATAACAGAAGAATTAGGAGGAAGTCTTATATATCCAATACTAAAATCGTTTATAATTATGTAAAATTTATCAATTGAATTTGACTATTATGAAAGAAAACTAGTTATAACCATCATTTTCTTAACCAGTCTCTTCAATTTATATAGTAACTTTAGGTCTTTATACAATTTTGACAGGAGAAGAGGTCTCTTTATGATATGATACCTTTTTGATTAGTGTGTTGGAATCGTAAAATCTGCAGTTTTAATGATACATTCTTGAAGGAGATCCCAAAATTGATTCAACTTGTTTTGATTATGTACAGTCTTATTGTTGAGGCAATATAAGTAGCATCTATTAGTCAAAGTATCCATTTTATTTGCGAAGGCTAACCATTTATCCTCAGTCATTTTATCATAGTTGTAGGCTTTTTTTTAAAGAAATATTTCTTTTATTATTTTTAACATCCAAAAAGTTTTTGACATAAATGATGACTATAGAGTGATCAGTTAAATTAGATGTGAGTTGAACTTCTTCACAACCTATAAAGTTTGAGATGACATCAACTGAGAACTAAACGTAATCTATACAAGAAGATAATGTTAGACCTTGATAAGTGGGATAATCAGACCTTTGTGTATTGTATTTGACTGAGAAAGTGTCAACCAAATTGAGGTTGTTCAAATTAGAAAAGAATCTTTTATTTTGAGAATGCAGCTTGGAATTATCTATGTCAGCGTTAAGGTCCCCTAAAAGTACCAAATGACAGTTATTTGAATATTCATCTTAAAGATATTACAAAAGATCTGTTTTCTGATGGTGTGATGCCAGGTGGAGGATAACAATTAATTATTCTTAATTTTTATTTGTTGACAAATTGTAAATCCACTAGAATAATGTGATTATGTTTAAATTCGTGATGAAAAACATGATTCGCGAGATGTAGGCGAAGTAAAAAACTCATACTGAAACCAGATTTTTGAGGTTAGAAACTTGAGGTGAAACCAAAGAAACTGGTAAATTTGGATGAAAACATGCGATTAAAAGTATAAATGGAATATGAAGAAAAGTTTGTTTCTTGTAGACCAATAATATCTAAATTAAGTGAAGAATAAAGTGCAACAAGAGAATTCTGTTTAGCAATGTTAGTGAAAGATTGAACATTATGAGTGGCAAATGAAATTTTATGTAGGATATATAGGATATTAGAAAAGCCAATATATGCATCTTGTGCAGGAAAATCAGTAGAGACAGTGTTCATAATAGAATTTAAAATTGTGAAATGTCCTTAAGATACTGATTAACATCACTATCAAAAGTATCTCCTAAAGGAATATGTTATTGACGAGTTCTTTAGAGAGCAGGTTGTTCTGTATGAGGATGGCTTGAAACGCTACACAAGATTTAACTAAAGTGTTAACTGTCATTGCGAAGGATTTAAGATGATTTTGGTGTATCTGATTAACGCTTTTTAATCTCTCAATTGTTTTTTGTTGTTGCATAATAATAGAGGATGATGTATCAATCATAGGTTCGATTCCATCACAAGTCATGCTTTCAGTAACGTCTCTCTCAAGATTCTTGGCTTATGTCTCTGAAGGTATAATTACTTTAATATTCATTGATTTTTCTATGACAGCAATATGTTGAACAGTAAAGTCAAGTGATTTTACTAAATAGCAAAGATTTTTATTTAGTGTTATGAATTATTGTCTGATAAAGTCTTTAAAGTCATCCTGATTATTATCATGTATAGAACCAAATACATTGAAGGTTAGCATTACAGTCTGATTAAAAAAATGATCATTCATGATATCAGAGATATCATCAAACCATGAACTTGTCTGTTGATTATATCCTTCATTGTTCTCGTATGTATTACTTGATGGTGGTTTTTTATTTTGTGAGTTTTTCTGTTCTCTCATCTTGTTACTAGAAGAAGATTTTAGTTCATAAGAATTTCCAGTCATGTGAGCAAAGGTTACGTTTAAATTAACTGCGTCTTTTAAAGATTTCAATAGCGCTTTATATTTAAGAACTGTGCTAGTTGAAATTGTTGATATAATTTTTGTATACTGTAATTGTCAGGGATTTTCTTTTTCTAGAACATATGCTTGCTTTATAATGAAGGGATGAACAAATTGCATAGAGCTTCGCATTTGATTTAGTTCAGGTCACGTGTTTGTTATCAATAGTAAGGTTATCATTACTGAGGGTAGCTTCAACATCATCATTAAAGTTGAAATAGAAATATGCATGTTGAAGGGAAATAGTTAGATTAGCCTGAAGTATATATTCAACATGTGTCCAATCTCAATAAGTTGTTTTCCCATTGTAAATTTGGAAAGATCAGCTAATTTTGCGAAAAATTTTGATTTATCAAATATTTCCTTTTTTTGGTAAGTCACACATATGATATTTAATCATATTGTTGAGAACGAAAAGTCTATGACTCTTTTTAATCATAAAAATTAGAGTTAGCGTCAAAAATAATGGTCGCTTGTTGCCAAAGGTTTTTAGTATCTATTGTGAGTCTGACAATTTTTTCCAATTTAGAAAATACTGTTCGAATTTTGTGTTCTGTTGCATCCAAGGGAATTTCTGTGATTTTAATCGATTGAGCTAGAATAAAATGATGTTTGGAGATGATCTTCAAAGGTAAAAATGTGCGATCATTCATATTTGGCAACTTAACAGTACACACATGGTCTTATTATTCTTTGTTACAAAGATTTTGACAATTTGAAGAGCAAGATTGTTAGGATATTTTGAAGCGACCGCATCAGTGAACGAATCATAATGATCAAAAATGAGATTAATAAGAAAGGAAATCTTCTGTTGTAGCGATTTTTCAGGAAGGTCGTTTAAAGGGAAAAAATATGTGAAAAGAGAAAACGTGCAGTTATCCATTCCAGGTAAATTCATAATACATGTATAATCCCTATGGTCTTTGTTTTGAAATAATATTTTAATAATACGTTCTGATTAGTTTACAGGGTTTTTGATAGCAACTGTGCTTGTGAACGAATCGTATATGTTAAAGAGTAAGTTAATAACAAAAGATATTTTTTGTTGAGATGATTTTCCAGGAGTGTTGTTTAGAGGAAAAGACGTGTGGTAAGCAGGCTTAGGTCTGTCAAAAGCTTATGGAGATTTGTAGACACCTTCAAGAAAGTTTTCAGAAAGATCATATGTTTTGTCAACGTCGAAAGATATTGGAACTATATCATTTTTTTTGTTTTCCCTTTTTTTAAAGATATTGAATCGACTTCTATAATTTCTGAAGGTACAACCATTGTTGAGCTTCTTGGTATTGGAGTAGTATCCTTAGTTTGCGTTGGGTTGATTTTTTTGTTCGAACTGTTTGAAACATTTTTGTTGGTTTGTGAAAATGCTAAATGATCTTGTTATTTGGAGTTCTTTCTCTCTTTCTCTTAGGTGTCATGTCAAAAAGAAGAAAGAGTTTTTTTCTTTTTCCAATATGAATTTTATTATTGGATTATTAAAATTAAATCAATGTTGATTATTATGTGAAATCTGTCCAATAAATGGATTTTTAACTATGCTGTTTTATGTAGAATTTGGCATAATAATTGATTGAAAATCATGACTAAATTTGAATGAAAATCATTACCATTTAAGGGATAACACACTCTGATCGGATTTTTAAATCTAGAACGAACCTGCCTTCTTGTGTTCATTTTCAACTAGACGCTCAAGTGATGTACCTGAATAACTCATTCATCGAACAAGGAATACCATAGGAGTAATCACTGTCGTGAATTCTAATGAAGAATCTGAGTTGCATTTTCTATCAGAGGTTCGATAATTGATATTATCATCTGCAAACAAACACACTACTTCCAACTAAATGGAAGCAACAGTTAGTGTATGCAATTCCCTTTACAGGAATCTTTCGCTCTTACCGTTCATAAAACTCAGAGTTTGACCCTTCCGAGAGTGATTCTTGCCTTAGACGGAAGCATATTTTCTCCCGGTCAGGCATACATTGCTCTTAGCAGATCTCCCATTTGGAATAATATTGACATATCACATCTTGATCGTTCAGCCTTCATGATAGATTATGATGTTATTACTGAATACAGAAGGTTGGAAGGAATCTCTAACATCACACCCTCGACGATTCTTATGAATTGCAAAATCATTATGCAGCTTTTTAAATTTAAAAAAAATAGTTTTAATTTCAAAGATTATATTAATCATAAATCAAGCATTACATTTGTAACATTCCCTATTGTATTGTCGATTAGACGCTTCAATTGACCACGTGACGGACCGATCGGTCCTACGTTTTAAAAAAAATTGATATCTGATTATCAAATATTCTTTATAATCTATCGAAAGAAAAAAAAATGCCAGAAACTTTAGCACTTCCTTCAGCAAGTGATTTTCATATCCATCTTCGACAAGATGATTTAATGAACATGGTGGTTCCTCGAATTGCAGAAGGAGGGGTTTCGTTATGCTACGTCATGGTAGACAAAAATAATAAAATTGAGGTCCCTTGTTCGTTGTTAAAGACAAGCTAACGTTTAATTCATTCTAATAGCCAAATCTAAAACCACCTATTACTTCTACAGAAAAAGCCCTTATTTATAAAGCTCAATTAGAAAAATTAGAACCGAATGTAACTTTCCTTATGAGTTTATACCTTTGTACTGATTTGACACCTGATGAAATTAGAAAGGCTAAAACAAATGGCATTATTGGTGTCAAATCATATCCAAGAGGAGTAACTACTAATTCAGATTCTGGTATAGAATCATATACTGTTTATTATCCGGTTTTTAAAGCTATGGAAGAAGTGGGAATGATATTGAACCTTCATGGTGAAATACCAAGTGATATAGAAAATGTTAGCTTTTTATAATAATAAATTATGATCACATTCTATATTATTAGTGAGTATAATGATTATTAAGTTCTTTTCTCATTAATGATTTTAGGATATTTGTGTAATGAATGCCGAAGAAAAATTTTTAATACATTTAAAAAAGTTACATAATGATTTCCCGAAATTAAAAATCGTCTTGGAACACGCTACGACTAAAGCAGCGGTTGAAACGGTATTAGTTCTTTTTTTGCTGGGAACTTTTTCAAAATCCATTTCAATTGATCTTTCTTTTGTCATGAATTTCTTTCTTCCTAGGTAAAATCGCTTGGTGAAACTGTTGGCTGTACCATAACGATTCATCATTTACAACTTATTGTAGATGACTGGGCTGGCCAATGTCATAATTTTTGTAAACCTGTTGCAAAATTTCCTCACGATCGTAAAGCTTTACGTGATATAATCCTTGAAGGCAAGTATTACTTGGTTTTACATTGAACCGAACGGTTTTTTTGATTTTATTTCAACTTTTTACAGGACATCCTCGATTTTTCTTGGGGACAGATTCTGCTCCACATCCTGCGCACCTTAAAGAATGTGCTCAAGCATGTGCTGGTGTATTTACTACTCCTTTAACTCTTCCGTACCTTGCTACAATCTTTGAATCATTTAACGCACTTCATATGCTTAAATTATTTGCTTGTGAGAATGGCAAGAAATTTTATGATGTAAAAGAAGAAGAGGGCAAATGCCATGAAATTAAATTGATCAAAGAAACTTGGTCAGTTCCAAACTCGTACTCATTTGGTGATAAAGAAACAAAAATTGGAATCGTCATTCCATTTTGGGCTGGAAAAACTTTAACATGGAAGATTGACTCGAATGAATAATACTTATTGCGGATTGAGAGTTTTATTGAATAATGATTGAACATAAATCTAAAGAGAAACATAAAGTAAAATAAAATATATAAATTTATAAATTATATAAAATAAATTAATTATATATATATATATATATATGAAGCATGGATATTCTTATTTCCATGAAACTTTGAAATATAATGATCCATATTACCAAAATTTACACTCTTATTCGGATGAAACAGGTGACGAAACCGTTGTAGTTTCGGTGGTACTAGTTTCCTCGTTTTCTTTTTTACTATCATTAGTATCCACGATTTTTAGGTTTGCAAAATCTCTAGATGACATACTTTGATGTGTTTTAGACATTCTCTTCCATTTATTGCCAGCTACAATCTAAATAAATACATAATTTTTAATTTTTTAGAGTATTTTACTTTTCCTTTCTTGAAATATTAAAAATTCAATGACATACCACAGTGATAGCAGTACCAATGCTAATTGTTTTGATAGCCGAATTAAATTCTGCATCTGTAATTTCGGTAACCATATCAGCACAATTCACTTCTTTAGTTATAAGTGGATCACTTCCTTTTTCAGTTACCCATGGATGTTCCTATTTGTAATTAAAGATATTTTTTAAAAAAGAATTCACCACTTTATTTTAAAATTCAAAAGAAAACATACACGAAGTTCAGGCATTGTAATTCTTTTATTTGGGTCTTTCTCAAGAATTTTACTAAGAAGATCAGCTAGATCGGGATCTGTACCTTCCGGAATTTCGATTCTATTTACAATGTATCACGAAAACAATATTTAAATTTTTGTTGTGCAAAGTAATATATAATTATGTATAAATATTAACATACAACTTACTCATCATGTTTTATTGAATCATACATATCAACAATGTTTTCCTTCGGAAAAGGTAACTGTCCAAAGGCAAGACAATATAAAGTCGCTCCCATGGACCAAATATCTGCGGCCTGTCCAGAAATTTCGCCATGATGAGCTTTATGATTAATTTTAAAGAAATTTAATTTAATAAAAGCTATCAATCAATCAATCAAAATTCAAAAATATTAAGAGGATCCCATGTGTATCTCACCTACACAAAGTTCCTGTTTATTAAAAAAATTAATTATTGACAGGTGGAATATGATAAAGCGATAAGTATACTTTAGACAAAATGATTTACCGGTGCCATGAAAGCCGGACTACCGGCAGATTTCTTCAATTTATCATTTCCCTTGACAAATATTTCAGATACACCGAAATCTACAATTTTAAGCACTTCATCTTTTGACAATAAGAGATTGTCGGGCTTAATATCTAAAAACAGAAATTTCAGAATAATTATTCCGAAAACCATCCATCATAAATAATTCGATGTTGACTCATAAATCGCTCGTATTTACCCCGGTGAACAATTCCATTTTCATGTACTAGTTTGATTTACAGGTTTAAATGAAGGAATTTAACTTAATTATAAAAGAAAAATGTCAAGAAAATAATCGCGAAAATTATACTTACGATATTCAAAACCAAGTATCATTTCTCTGAAATAAAGCCGCATTTTATCTTCGGGAAATGGGGTAGATTTTTTCTGGGTATTAACTTCCATGAGAACTCCTTTCTCGCACATTTCGAATACTAAAGAAAAATAAATATATTATAAATCAATCAGATTTAAATATAAATGATAGGTACATTAAATAGAAGATTTACCCATATAAAGAGAATCGTTACTCGGATCATCCAATACTTCGTATAATTTTACCACATTAACATGATTCAACTTCTTGAATACAGCAACTTCACTACGAATCAAATATAGGGGATCTGATGTATTCGTTGTATTGCTTACTGGTGCGCCTCCTCGTCCTCGAATCCCTCTGCCGCGCGGACGACGAAAGTAGTTTGCCTTATCTTTTTTGCGAAGTCGTGATTTGCTGAATTCTTTGACAGCCTGTATCATAATTTTTGAAAGAATTTACATTCCGTTTGATTAACGAATAACCAATGAAAAATCTTAAATTATCGTTATAACTTCAATTTTATATAATAGACTTTTTTAATTTTTTTTTTTTTTTTGGCGACATTCTCGTCATATCATAGTAAAATTTTCCATATTATTTTTTGAATTCTCAAATTAGTCTAAGTAATTTTTGACAAGAACCTACATAATTCATCATGGTTTCTTTGTTATAGGCTAAAATCACTGTGCCATAAGCGCCATGTCCAATTACTTCTTTTAAAACGTAGTTGTTTATACAACGTTCTCCATCTTGAGTTTCGGTTACAACTGCATCTAATGTTTCTTTGACCTCATGTGGAACCGACGGTTCGCGTCGGTGTAAAATTGAGGTTCGTTTAGAATGTGCGAGCGTTGACATTACAAGCTCCTATCTCGTTTCAAATAATGAAATAAAAACGCGCCAAGTAATTTAGTAGTTTCCCAAGGAAAGAAATGCGCGAAATTTATTTTTGGATCGTTTTTTAATCAAATACCTTTCTATTTTAGTACAGATCATCAATGACTACCTCAATAAGGAATCGATTTGTCATATAGTTTGAAGAACCATTATCTGTTATCATTTCTATACATTTTGGTCTATAAAGTCAAGTATATTTTAAGTATATATTGAATAATAGAATATCTTGTTATAAATTTGACCCTTCATTTTTTATGAAAAAATATACTATATATTTTTTTTTGAGAGAGAGGGATGGATTTATTGATATATAAAAATCTATGATAATGAAAGTAATTAAAAGATTAAATTGTCTTTGTTAAATCAAAATGTTTATAAATATCCTAAATGTGTCATTCCTAAGGTTGCTTGTCTAAACTCATTTTGGATTTGGCAAAATGGTAAACCTTTAGTTTCGCTAAATTTTTACTAAGTG